AGCTCTGGACCAAGCAGACCTAATAGACATCTATAGAACTCTCCACCCCAAATCAACAGAATATACATTCTTCTCAGCACCACATCACACTTATTAACCACATAGTTGGAAGTAAAGCACTCCTTAGCAAATGTAAAAGAACAGCAATTATAACAAACTGTCTCTCAGACCACAGCGCAATCAAACTAGAACTCAGGATTAAGAAACTCACTCAAAACCGCTCAGCTACATGGAAACTGAACAACCTGCTCCTGAATGACTACTGGGTACATAATAAAATGACGGCAGAAATAAAGATGTTCTTTGAAACCAATGAGAACAAAGACCCAACATACCAGAATCTCTGGGACACACTTAAAGCAGTGTGTAGAGGGAAATTTATAGCACTAAATGCCCACAAGAGAAAGCAGGAAAGATCTAAAATTGACACCCTAACATCACAATTAAAAGAACTAGAGAAGCAAGAGCAAACACATTCAAAAGCTAGCAAAAGGCAAGAAATAACTAATATCAGAGCAGAATTGAAGGAGACAGAGACACAAAAAACCCTTCAAAAATCAATGAGTCCAGGAGCTGGTTTTTTTTTGAAAAGATCAACAAAATTAATAGACCGCTAGCAAGACTAATAAAGAAGAAAAGAGAGAAGAATCAAATAGATGCAATAAAATATGACAAAAGGGATATCACCACTGATCCCACAGAAATACAAACTGACATCAGAGAATACTATAAACACCTCTACGCAAATAAACTAGAAAATCGAGAAGAAACTGATAAATTCCTGGACACATACACCCTCCCAAGACTAAACCAGGAAGAAGTTGAATCCCTGAATAGACCAATAACAGGCTCTGAAATTGAGGCAATAATTAATAGCCTACCAATCAAAAAAAGTCCAGGACCAGACGGATTCATAGCCGAATTCTACCAGAGGCACAAAGAGGAGCTGGTACCATTCCTTCTGAAACTATTCCAATCAATAGAAAAGGAAGGAATCCTCCCTAATTCATTTTATGAGGCCAACATCATGCTGATACCAAAGCCTGGCAGAGACACAACAAAAAAAGAGAATTTTAGACCAATATCCCTGGTGAACATCGATGCAAAAATCCTCAATAAAATACTGGCAAACTGAATCCAGCAGCACATCAAAAAGCTTATCCACCACGATCAAGTTGGCTTCATCCCTGGGATGCAAGGCTGGTTCAACATATGCAAATCAATAAACATAATCCATCATATAAACAGAACCAAAGACAAAAACCACATGATGATCTCAATAGATGCAGAAAAGGCCTTCAAAAAAATTCAACAGCCCTTCATGCTAAAAACTCTCAATAAACTAGGTATTGATGGGATGTATCTCAAAATAATAAGAGCTATTTATGACAAACCCACAGCCAATATCATACTGAATGGGCAAAAACTGGAAGCATTCCCTTTGAAAACTGGCACAAGACAGGGATGCCCTCTCTCACCACTCCTATTCAACATAGTGTTGGAAGTTCGGGCCAGGGCAATCAGGCAAGAGAAAGAAATAAAGGGTATTCAGTTACGAAAAGAGGAAGTCAAATTGTCCCTGTTTGCAGATGATATGATTGTATATTTAGAAAACCCCATCGTCTTAGCCCAAAATCTCCTTAAGCTGATAAACAACTTCAGCAAAGTCTCAGGATGCAAAATCAATGTGCAAAAATCACAAGCATTCCTATACACCAATAACAGACAAACAGAGAGCCAAATCATGAGTGAACTCCCATTCACAATTGCTTCAGAGAGAATAAAATACCCAAGAATCCAACTTACAAGGGATGTGAAGGACCTCTTCAAGGAGAACTACAAACCACTGCTCAACAAAATAAAAGAGGACACAAACAAATGGAAGAACATTCCATGTTCATGGATAGGAAGAATCAATATTGTGAAAATGTCCGTACTGCCCAAGGTAATTTATAGATTCAATGCCATCCCCATCAGGCTACCAATGACTTTCTTCACAGAATTGGAAAAAACTAAAGTTCACATGATATCAAAAAAGAGCCCGCATTGCCAAGACAATCGTAAGCCAAAAGAACAAAGCTGGAGGCATCACACTACCTGACTTCAAACTACACTACAAGGCTACAGTAACAAAAACAGCATGGTACTGGTACCAAAACAGAGATATAGACCAATGGAACAAAATAGAGCCCCCGGAAATAATACCACACATCTACAACCATCTGATCTTTGACAAGCCTGATAAAGACAAGAAATGGGGAAAGGATTCCCTGTTTAATAAATGGTGCTGGGAAAACTGGCTAGCCATATGTAGAAAGCTGAAACTGGATCCCTTCCTTACACCTTATACAAAAAGTAATTCAAGATGGATGAAAGACTTAAATGTTAGACCTAAAACCATAAAAACCCTAGAAGAAAACCTAGACAATACCATTCAGGCCATAGGCATGGCCAAGGTCTTCATGACTGAAACACCAAAAGCAATGGCAACAAACGCCAAAATTGACAAATGAGATCTAATTAAACTAAAGAGCTTCTGCACAGCAAAAGAAACTACCATCAGAGTGAATAGGCAACCTACAGAATGGGAGAAAATTTTTACCATCTACCCATCTGACAAAGGGCTAATATCCAGAATCTACAAAGAACTTAAACAAATTTACAAGAAAAAATCAAACAACCCCATCAAAAAGTGGGCAAAGGATATGAACAGACACTTCTCAAAAGAAGACATTTATGCAACCAACAGACACATGAAAAAATGCTCATCATCACTGGCCATCAGAGAAATGCAAATCAAAACCACAATGAGATACCATCTCACACCAGTTAGAATGGTGATCATTAAAAAGTCAGGAGACAACAGGTGCTGGAGAGGATGTGGAGAAATAGGAATGCTTTTACACTGTTGGCGGGACTGTAAACTAGTTCGACCATTGTGGAAGACAGTGTGGTGATTCCTCAAGGATCTAGAACTAGAAATACCATTTGACCCAGCCATCCCATTACTGGGTATATACCCAAAGGATTATAAATCATGCCACTATAAAGACACATGCACATGTATGTTTATTGTGGCACTATTCACAATAGCAAAGACTTGGAACCAAGCCAAATGTCCATCAATGATAGACTGGATTAAGAAAATGTGGCACATATACACCATGAAATACTATGCAGCCATAAAAAAGGATGAGTTCATGTCCTTTGTAGGGACATGAATGAAGCTGGAAACCATCATTCTGAGCAAACTATCACAAGGACAGAAAACCACACACCACATGTTCTCACTCATCGGTGGAAATTGAACAATGAGAACACTTGGACACAGGGTGGACTTGGACACCAGGGCCTGTTGTGGGGTAGGGGTAGGGGTAAGGACAGCATTAGGAGATATACCTAATGTAAATGATGAGTTAACGGGTGCAGCAAACCAACATGGCACATGTATCCATATGTAACAAACCTGCACGTTGTGTACATGTACCCTAGAACTTAAAGTATAATAATAATTTTTTTAAAATTGCACAAACCAACACAAAACGTCAAGTATCTCACAGGTTTCTTTCTAGGACGTGGTGATGGCAATGTTCTGAAAGTGGCTTGTGGTGATGGCTGCACCCCTCTGTAAATACACTAAAATGTGTTGAACTGTATGCTTAAAATGGGTGGGGTTTATGCTGCATAAATTATACTTCTATAAAGCTGTTGAAAACAAAGAATCAAACAAATGCTAAGTTCATGAGGAACCCTGTAGTGTGAGGAGCGCACTCACTGCCTTGGTTGTAGTGATGGCTTCACAGGTATATCCACGTGCCCAAACCTAGCAAATGATGTGCTTTGGACATGCACAGTTTTATTGTATGTCAACTATACCTCAATAAAGCTGCATTTAAAAAAAAAAAGCAGCATAGTTATCCACATAAGAATGAATCCCTTATATTTTATTAAACAATGCCCCTTTTGATGGGCATTTAGGTTTAAAATGTTATGTCACTACAAATAATACTTCAATAAATATCTCTGTATGAAAAAAAAGAAATACAGATATTGTGCGTCCTCCTCCTCCCCCACTGGCAAGTCACAAAATTAGAATTTCCCATGGAGGGGCCCCGGGAACCTGTAATTTTACTGAACAGTCCCCCTCAAATTCCTTTTTTTTTTGAGACGGAGTCTCACTCTGTCTCCCAGACTGGAGTGCAGTGACGCAATCTCCGCTCACTGTAAGCTCTGTCGCCTTCCGGGTTCACGCCATTCTCCTGCCTCAGCCTCCCGAGAAGCTGGGACTACAGGCGCCGCCACCACGCCCGGCTAATTTTTTTGTATTTTTAGTAGAGACGGGGTTTCACCGTGTTCACCAGGATGGTCTCGATCTCCTGACCTCGTGATCCGCCTGCCTCGGCCTCCCAAAGTGCTGGGATTACAGGCGTGAGCCACCGCATCTGGCCCTCAAATTCTTATAATCAGACATGTTTAGGGTAACACTGGCTCGGACTTCACAGACTTGGCTTTTCAGGTGCTCACGGGTTGAGCGTCTACTTGGACACTGAGTTTCAGGCTCTACAGACATTCTCTCGATCCCATGTGCCATTACGAAGGCAGAGACCTGGGCATATGAAGAAGTCTGGCCCAGGTCACAGAGCTAGGAAGGAGCAGAGCGCTGATCTGCCTAAAAATGAAATCCATCTCTGCATTTTCAAAAACGCACCTTGCTTTCTGCCTCCTCTCAGGAAGTTGCACATTTTTGGAAAACTCTGGTTCTATGTGAGCCAAGATGCAACTCCAAGAAATGCCCAGAAGAGGGTGCTAAGATTCTCTCCTTCCTGGGACCCGCCAGAATGACTCAGAACTCCACAGGGTCGACTCTGTCGCTACCGCCTGTGTGCAGCCTGGGATCACAGTGGCACCGCTGCGGATGAGCGCCACCCTGCGGCTGCATCTGAGTGCCGGGCTGCACGAAGGTGACACGGCCCCTCTATCCCCCAGTGGCCCAGACTCACCGGAGGTGGGTTTTCAACGACCAGTTCATAGGTCAGCCCTGCAGACCCAAATCTCAGGATGTCTCCAGGGATGAGCTTCACAGCCACGTTCTGAATGTGGCACTCGTTGACAAACGTGCCGTTGCGGGAATTGAAGTCCTGGAGAACAAAGCTGCACTCCGCCTCGTTATATTCGATGAGTGCATGGTGGTTGTCGATGTCAGGAGACTGCAACGGAGAAGGACAGTCGTAGAAGTGAAAACAAAAATGGCACGACCCCTAATGTTTCGAGCTGAGTGCTTTACCTGTGTTGCTGCCGCCAGATCATCATGACAATCCTCATTTTAAAAGGAGGATGCTGAGGATCAGAGAGGTTAAGCGACTTGCGCAAGGCCACACAGCTAGTGCATGAAGGAGCTGGGATATGTGCTCTGACACTAGACCTGGGGACAGGTACCTAAGTTGTTGGGTGGGGAAATCAGGCAACACAAAGGCAAAGGGATCTTGGGAGAGTCTTATTGGGCAAATATGGGACCAGGGAATTGACCATTTTCTTTTCTTTTTGTTTGTTTTTATTATTATTTTTAAAATTTTACTAAAAGTGAAATGGTCAAGGAATTGGCCATTTTTTATTTCCCTAACTCCACGTGGGTACTTATGGTGGCACTCAGTACCAGGACAGGAGGCAGAAATGGCCCAAACAAGAAATAAAGAAAAGCACTAAAGAAGCCATTACCGTTACTTATACTCCCACCCCAACCAGCAGCAGTCATGGTTAACATTGAGGTTCACATCCTTCCACGTTTTTTTCTATACTTACGTTCTTTTAATTTTTTAAAAAACAAAATTAATCACACCTACATACATAGTTTTTTAATTACCTTTTTTAAAAACCTTGACGTACAATAAACATTTCCCATGTGATTAGTTATTTCCATTGCTTCTTAAAAGCTACTCAGGATTTGCCTAACCACAGATGACCTGCTTTTCAAAAGGGGGCTTCGGGTCGGGCGCGGTGGCTCACGCCTGTAATCCCAGCACTTTGGGAGGCCGAGGTGAGTGGATCACTTGAGGTCAGGAGTTTGAGACTAGCCTGGCCAACATGGTGAAATCCCGTCTCTACTAAAAAATACAAAAAATTAGCCAGGCTTGGTGGCGGGCGCCTGTAGTTCCAGCTACTTGGGAGGCTGAGGCAGGAGAATGGCGTGAACCCAGGAACCAGAGCTTGCAGTGAGCCGAGATCACACCACTGCACTCCAGCCTGGGCGACAGAGCAAGACTCCACCTCAAAAAAAAAGGGGGGGGGCTTGGTGAGACCATGTTTCCCCAAAGGAAAGGGGCCCCAGCTAGTGTAGCAAACTGACGGCAGGGGACAGAAGCTCCTCTGTAATTTTACTTTCATAAGGGGCTGAGCAAAGCTCAGCACAAAGCAGGTGACTGCATGTTCCCCTGGCCCCAGGACCCTGGAGGGATGAAGGGAAATGATCCGGCTGTGAGTTGCAGGGCACACTGAAGTCTTCGTCTTTCTTTCTTTTTTTTTTTTTTGAGACAGAGTCTCACTTTGTCACCCAGGCTGGAGTGCAGTGGCACGATCTCAGCTCACTGCAACCTCCGCCTCCTGGGTTCAAGGAATTCTTCCGCCTCAGCCTCCCAAGTAGCTGGGACTACAGGCGTGTGCCACCACACCCAGCTAATTTTTGTACTTGTAGTAGAGACGGGGTTTCACCATATTGGCTAGGCTGGTCTCAAACTCCTGACCTCGTGATCCGCACTCCTTGGCCTCGCAAAGTGCTGGGATTACAGGTGTGAGCCACCATGCCTTGCCAAAGTCTTCATCTTTTAAGGGCACTGTCAACCAGACATCCATGCCACTTGAGACTTCGCAATTACTTTCTAAGTTTATCTTCTCAGGGTGCCCTGTCCAGTGTTTATATAAAAGTACTTGCACTTAGACATCTAAAGTTCCATCATATAACAATCAAGAGCTTATATTAATAATAGAATATATTAATATGTATACTAGAGTAACAATAAAACATATTACTTACACATTACAAGCCAGGAAATTGCTTAGTGTTTTATTACATTGTCCTATTTCATCTTCACAACAATCTAGAGATAGTTTCCCATTTGGTAGATACGAAAACTGAGGCACAGAATGAATTTACCCAAAGTCACCCAGATTGACAAGTCACCTGGCTTGTACTCAGGTTTGCCTGATTCAAATGTCTGTGCTGTTACCCACTTTCCAGATTTTTGCCAAACACTTTACCACCCAAAATATGAAAACACAAAAGAAAGCTGAAGTAGCCATACTAACTGCGGCCAAGGCAGATTTCAGAACAAGAAAAACTGGGGATAAAGAGAAGCATTAGGCCAGGTGCGGTGGCTCATGCCTGTAATCCCAGCACTTTGGGAGGCCCAGACGGGCAGATCCCCTGAGGTCAGGAGTGTGAGACCAGCCTGGCCAACATGGTGAAACCCCATCTCTACTAAAAATACAAAAATTAGCGGGGCGTGGTGGCACATACTTGTAATCCCAGCTACTTAGGAGGCTGCGGAAGGAGAATCGCTTGAACCAGTAGGTGGAGGTTGCAGTGAGCCAAGACAAAGCTGTTACACTCCAGCCTGGGTGACATGAGCAAAACTCAAAAACAAAAACAAAAACAAACAAACAAACAAACAAAAAAAACAAGAGAACCATAAATAATGGTAAAGGGGCAATTCTCCAAAAAGACATAACAATTCTTGATGTGTATGCACCTAACAACAGAGTGCCAAAATACACAAGGCAAAAATGGATAGAATTGCAAAGAAAAATAGATAAGCCCAGTATGATAGCTGAAACTTCCACAATCCTCTGTCAGTAATTAGCAGAGCCAGCAGGCAGAAAATTAGTAAAGACATAGTTAAACTGAACAACACCATCAATTGACAAGATCTCATTGGTATTTACGGAACACTTAACCCAACAACAACAAGGTGCACGTTCTTCTTGGGCTGACATGGAACACTCACTAAGTATACCACATTCTGAGCCATAAAACACACCTCAAGGAATTTAAAAGAATAGAAATCATGTAGAGTATGCTCTCAGACCACAGTGGAAGTGAACTTGAAATCAGTAACAGAAAGATAGGTGGAAAATCCCAAAACATTTGGAGATCAAACAACATACTTCTAAATAACACACAGTGAAGGAAGAACTCTCAGGAGAAATTAAAAATTATCTTAACTAAATGAAAATGAAAATACAACTTAAAATTTGTGGGAAGCAGTGAAAGTAGTGCTTACAGGGAAATGTATAGCCTTGAACGCATACATAAGAAAAGAAGAAAGATCTGAAATCAATAATCAATGTTTCTACCTTAGGAGACTAGAGGAAGAAGAGCAATAAAAGCCTAACACAGACAGAAGAACTGAAAGAAAAATTAGATCAGAAATGAATGAAATTGAAGACAATAGAGAGAATCAAAGAAAACAAAAATTGGTTCTTTGGAAAGATCAATAGAACTGACAAACCTCTAGTAGGTAACCAAGAAAAAAAAGAGAGAAGACACAAATTATGGATATCAGACATGAAAGAGAGGCCATCGCAGCTGATCCCATGGATATATATAATAGAATATTTATGAAAACATATTTTATGTTCATATTTATATGCTATAAAACATGTTATATAAATATTTATACAACATATTTTATATCATATCAATATTTATATATTTATAATATATAAAATATTTATTTTATTAATATATGTTATATATTTATATTTTTATATTTTATATATTTATAATATATAAAATATCTATTTTACAAATATATATTATATAAAATTTATATTTATAATTTATATATTAATTGTTTTATATATTCATAATGATATATAAAGGAATATTATAAATAGCTCTCTGTCCACAAATTTGATAACTTAGATGAAATGAACCAATTTCTTGAAAGACACAACCTACCCAAACTTATACAAAGAGGAATAGATGATCTGGGCCCCTATCTATTAAAGAATTTGAATCAATAGTTAATAACCTTCTAAAACAGAAAGCATGAGGCCCTGGTGAATTCTATCAAACATTTAAGGAAGAAATGATACCAGCTCCCTACAATCTCTTCTAGAAAATAGAAGCAGGGGGAATACTTCCTAACTTATTTCGGGAGGTCAATATCACCCGAATACCCAATCGAGATAAAGACATTACAAGGAAGAAAAACTACAAGCCAGTATCTCTCATATACATAGACGCAAAGTCTTCAACAAAATATTAGCGAATATAATCCAATACTGTATAAAAATAATTATACACCACAACCAAGTGGGATTTATTCCAGGTATCTGAGAACTGATTTGGCGTTTGAAAATCAATTAATGCAATCCATTGCATCAAGAGGCTAAAGAAAAAAATAAACGGGGAGCTATATTCTTTTATTTGTAATTACCAAGTGAAATATGATGTTTAAAATCTTTTCATATGCTTATTTGCCATCTGTATATCTTCTTTGGCAAAGTAGCTGTTCAGATCTTTTGTCCATCTTTAATTTGGGCTGTTTTCTTATTGTCGGGTTTTAAGACTCATTATTTTGGATACATGTTTATAGCATCTTTATTCATAATTGCCAAAAACTGGAAGCAACCAAAATGTTCTTCAGAAGGTAAATGGATAAACAAACTGGTACATACATACAATGAAACATTAGTCAATGATAAAAAGAAATGAGCTCTCAAGCCACAAAAAGATAGAGGAACTTTAAATGCATATTGCTCAGTGAACAAAGCTAATCTAAAAGGGCTACATATTGTATGATTTCAACTACATGAAACTTTTAAAGAGATAAAACTATAGAAAGATTTGTGGTCGCCAGGGTTCATGGGAAGGTGGGGGGCTGCGTTGAGCAGGTAGGGTACAGGGGAACTTGAGGGCAGTGCAACTATTCTGTATGATTCTGTATTGGTGAATACCTGACATTATGCCTATGTCAAAACCCATAGAATGTTGTAATGTGAATAATGAATCCTAATGTAAACTCTGGGCTTGAGTTAATAACATATGAATATTGATTCATCAATTGCAACAAATGTATCATGGTAAGGAAGATGTTAATCATAGGGGAAATTGTGTGTGTATGTGTAAGTGTGGTGGGGGAGGGGTTGTTATGTATGGGAACTATCTGTACTATCTGCTCAACTTTCTATGAACCTGTAACTGCTAAAA